ATCAGTGAAATCACCCTAGAAAATGTACAAAGAGGGAGAAAAGGACAGGCCTACGACTGGATGGGCTTTAATGCCTTGAGATCAGCACCAGCCCCACAGCTCCTCAGTCCCTGAGCAAGTGCTAATACAGGCTCTGGTTTTCAGCTGCACCTTCTTGCTGCAGAGAAAAAACAGCTTGAGGCAGCAGCAGCTAATTTCATCAGGCTTATCTGCAGTGTGGGGAAGGAAGAGCTGGCTGTCATAGCTACCTTTTTTTTTTCCTGCACAGCTGTAAGGTTTCATGAGCATCTCTTTCTTGCTTCCATGGGCAATTTTGAGGAGCAGATGTTGATGTCAGTCTCCCCAATAAGACTTTTGTGTGCTCTTTTGCCTGGCCTGGTTTCTTGGAGGTCACACAGAAGGAAGCCAGAAGGTGACATTTTGATCACTTGGACCATCTGCAGATCACAGACTGTAACTTTGGCTTAAACTAGGTCATAGCTTTTTAAAATAAAGATCAAACCTGCAACTATGACTTAAGACGAAGGCTGGGAGTATTTTGTGCATGACTGCAGGATGTTCCACTGATAGACTGTTGGGCTTCATTTTGTGTTCATTTAGCAGGTAGGAGCAATAGCCACAGCTTATATTTCCTCAATGCTAAGCATTAAAAACCCTAAATAATAATAATAATAATAAAAGCCCTAAAAAAAAAAAAAGATATTTAGTTATATTTAACTGTAAGGAAGGAGGAGAAGATGGATGCAGAGATGAGAGAAGAAACATGAGCATATCTTCTCTGTCAAACACCGAAATTGTGATACACAAGCTATGCTGAGAGTTATAACAATGACACTGCAGCAGCACAGAAACCAGTCCCCATGGAGCTTTAGGATCTTTTTTATAGCTGGATTGCTCCTACTGCATGAATGAGCTGTGTATCAGTGCTATTCTGTGCTTACAGTCTCACTTGTCATTGATCACAGAATCATAGAACCCTTAGACTTGGAAGGGACCTCTGAAGGCCATCAAGTCCAAATCCTCTGCACTGAACAAGGACACCTACAGCTACATCAGGTTGTCCATGGCCCAATCCAGCCTCGCCATGAAAGTGTCCAGGATGGGGCAACAACCACAGCACTGGGCAACCTGTTCCAGTGCCTCACCACCCTCACTGTAAAATACTTTTTTATATCTAACCTAAATCTACCCTTTTGATCTTGAAATCATTTCCCCTTGTCCTATCATCATAGACCCTGCTAAAGAGTGTCTTTCTTGTAGCTCCCCTTTAGATACTGAAAGGCCTCTATCAGGTCACCTCACAGCCTTCTTTTCTCCACTCTGATCTATGGATGCTTCCAGATGCAAACAGGTACATTGGTTCATTTTGTGGACATACTGATGGTGATTTATAACACTTAAAAAGGACCATGAGGTAGGCTGATGGTTTTGTGTGTGGATGGAGACTTCACTGAAGCCTTTGGAGATGAGAACATGAGAGTGCTTGATGCAGCGTCTATCAAGGGTTGAGTGGAGGTTGGTGTTAGAAAGCAGCCAAAAATGGGATTAGATCTTTGCACTCTCTGTGAAAAAAGAGATGCCCTAAAACACCGCAAATCTGTCAGAAGGATAGAAAGAGAAGGACAAAAATACTCAATGCCATCAACACAGTGCTGACACTGAAACTGAGATCCCACTTACCTCTGCAGTTAGATATCTTCACCCTCCATGTACTGTGTCTTGCTCTATCTGGGATTGCTAGGTCAGGAGGTCTTCATCTCAGAGAATGATCCCAATGGTTCTGCTCTTCAGCACCTTTCTCAGAGCCCATCCTACTGAAATAGGACGTGTCATTTTAATGACAGTTGCAGTCATTCTACAGACAGTTTGACTGTCCTCACACCTGGATATCCCATTTTACTGAGTACTAGTTTCTCACCCCTTTGCTCGTGGGCACTTTTGGCCTGTGCAGCAGCAAGGTTTTTACAGAGTAACTGAATTTTCCTGAATTTATATTTGCATTTTTCCTCTTGTAAACATGATCCAGATGTTCCAGATGAAAGTACATATGAGTCTATTAAAACATAATGTCTGTGTGTGTGGTTTACCAAGCGGTCCTGTGCTTTGTCATTCATAATAATAATTCAGCTGATCTATGAATAAGTGAAGAGACAGCAGTGTTATCTTGACCAGCAGATGTCTTGTTTTCTTGTACTTTCTGATTGCCACCTATCCGACTGAATAAAGCTTTCTGACAAAGGCCAGCATGACCCACAGGAGATGTTTATCAGTGGTCCCTCCGCACTCCCCCAGCAGAGCCTGTTGCAGCTTTCTGGATGCATGCTGCAGTTCAGCAGAACCACTTGCTTTTGATTATTACAAAACCCTCCAGTGTCGGCCAAGGAGGTGGATATCAAACTTGTGTGCATTGAGTGCTGCCAGCAACACATCATAAATAATAGTAATGGAGTGTAATTGCTCATCAAACCAAATCATAGCCTGGAGTGCTCCATCTGTCCGTGCTCCCTTTGAAGTTGATGGCGGCTTGTGCCAGCAGGTGTGCAATTGGACGAGGGCAGCAGCGCCATCAATGAGATTTTCAGCAGCGCCACTACAGGATCTGACGCAGAGCCACATGAAACCTCTGGGTGTCTTTGCACTGAGATGGAAGGCTTTAGCTAACTGCCCTTTGCTAAACCTCTTCCCAGTCAGTATGCTTGTGTGCAACAGTTATCCCAGAAGGAGCAGGGAGGGGAAAATTCCTGACCCCAAGCAACGATGCTTTAAGTTTTGAAAGGAGATGGAAACTCAACCAAACATGGTCTTAATAGTGAGTTTGCATTGCGGTAATGTGGATCTTGGAGATGTCTGAGACCCTTTGGAGGATGCCTCTGAAAGAAAAACAAAACAAAACAGCTTTTAATTGGGACAGAAAAGTGTTGTGTCTCTAGCATAAGGCCTACAGAAGCCAAACAGGCTGGTGAGCTTGCCCATCAGTCACCCATTGCTATATGACATTGGTACAGCCCTGGGCTAATGAAAATAATTTACTGTACCCTCAGGAAAATAACTCACAGTCCCCATTTCACGCTGAACATTCACTGTTGTGGTTCAAAACTGTGATTAACTGGTTGGCCATAAATTTCCTTCCCTTCCCCCTTTGCCTCTCACTTCTCCCTGTGTAAAGCTGCGTTAAGGCATAGCAGGTTGTGTGATGTAAGTGCTCTGTTCTTCATGCCCCACACATTCTCAGTAATGCTGATAGCTCCGCTGTGGCTTTGGGAAATATCATCACTATTGTACTGAGATGGAACAGGAGCTGGAGAGAGATAAATGGCACAGTTAGCAAAACTTCCTTAGCTCCCACAGCCCTCGTTGGTAATATGGCTGCAAATGATATTCAGATGATGCCGATAGATGTTAGAGCAGGTGTGAAGAAGTTTGGTCTCTCCATCTCCAAATGTCTTTCCGTGTGTTTTCCCTCCAGCTCTGGGAAATAGAAGGACGGCTCTGAGCAGAAATCTTTTGGGAAGCAGTGCGGGAGCTGTTCAAGTAGGTGGCAAATCTGTTTCCCTGTGTGTCTGGAAGGGCTTTTGGGTTTGTTGGCATCTCTTCAGGAGATACCAGGAAAACTCCCCCAGGTGGGGGAGGAGGACTTCTCATGGAAACAACATGCAATCTGTAAGGCTTTGTCTCTTTAATTTAATTATTATTAGCTGTCAAGGAGGAAGGATTAGATTGCACCCTTTGTATCCCACCAAGGTGCAGCCATGTGAAAACTCAGCGCTGCGGGGAGGTTTTCACTGACGAGCTTTAAGAGAAAAAGGGGATTCTGCTGCGGTGTTGTGGCAGAAATCCCAGGGCAACAGTGCTGCAGGAGCACAAAGCAGATATTGGCTTCCTCGCAGTCAGGAAACCGAAAGAGCTGACGATCCCATCCCTTGTGGATTTGGATCCTGCTACTGATGTCTCAGGGCAGGGGCTGTAGCTCTGCTCGGCTCTGCTCCCGCATAGAGCCATTCACTTTGGCGACTGCTTTGAGGACCGCAGCCCTTGTTACGGTAGTAGAACCAGCATCCCCCGCAGGAGAGCCGTGCCGAAACCCGAAGCCCGGCTCGGCTGGAGGATGCACGGCCGCCCTGCCCCCAAGCCCCTTCCCCGGGTGGAAGCTCGTCTCGTCTCCGAGCGAGCCGCGTCGGCGAGGCAGAGCCCGCAGCCTCCTCTCCCGGCATCCTTCATCCCCATCCTCCCCTCCTTCCTGCTCCGGCGGCGAAAGCAAACCCCCGCGGGGGGCCGGGGATGCCCTTCCCTTTCCCTCCCTCCCCTCCAGCCGCAGCGAGGCGGGGTGGGCTGTGATGCTGCGGGGGTTCCCCGGGTGTTCGGAGGGGGCTCCCTTCCCGCCGGCTGCCGGGATCTCCCCGCTCGGCGGCCCCAGCAGGGGGCTGGCAGCCGGGGGTGGGAGGGGGGGAGGGGATGATAGGGACAGCCCCGCGGCCACACGCAGCCGACTACAGACACCCGGGGCTGGGGGAGCGGGGGGAGGGCGCCGGGCTATTTGCTGCCTGCATACAATGGGCCACTCCCTAACGTGAGGGCTCGGGGAAAGGGGGGGTGAGGGGTTGGGGGGGGGAGAAGGCAGGAGCTGGGAGGAGGAGGAGGAAGAGGAGGCGGGGGGGTGGAGGGGGGGAGGAAGGGGCTCGGGCATCAGGCTGGTAAATAAACTCCGCGATGATTTCCCTGCCTTGCGCCGGCCCAGGTGCTGCTGCCCGCCGGTGGGGATGACCTGAGGGGGATGTGACCGCCTCCCCCCGCCCCATTTGCTATCCCCCTTTCCCCCCGTATTATAAGTATATATATATATACATATATATACTTCCATGTATATATATATATAAATCCGTAAAGAAATCCTTGTCGGGGGGGGGGGGGGGGGGAGGGGCGGGGAGCTCAGATCATGGCCTTGGGGCTCCCGGGGCTGCCGCCGCCGATCTGCAGCTCGCCTCCGGGGCCCGGCGCCCACCATGGGGCTGAAGGCGCGGCGCGGCGCGGCGGGCGGTAGCGGGGCCGGAGGGGCGGCGGAGGGGCGGCGGGCTGCGGGCGGCGGCGGAGGGGACCCCGAGCAGGGCTCGCTCGCCCTGGGCTCCGGAGCCGATCGCGACGGGACGCTGCTGCTGGAAGGCGGTGGGAAGGAGGAGGGTGGCAAGCGGAGCCCTCCGGGGTTGGGGCTGTTGGCGAAGACCCCCTTGAGCCGCCCGGTGAAGAGGAACCACGCCAAGTATCGCCGGATCCAAACTTTGATCTACGACGCCCTGGAACGACCCCGAGGCTGGGCGCTGCTCTACCACGGCTTCGTGTGAGTAACGCGGAGCGGGGCTGCCCGGGGGGATGCGCCGTTTCGCTTTATCATTCCCGACCGGGGGGACTTTTGTGGTTCTGTCGTTCTTCGACTCGCTCCCAGCAGCGGGGGAGAAGGCAAGGAGCTTATTATGGGATGTGCTGATGTTTATTTATTTATTTATTTTATTATTTTAATGTTTTTCTATCATCGGGTGTTCCAAAATGAGCATCTCGTAAGGCTCGGGCTCCCTCTGGCATGTCCCCCGCGTCGCTGTGCTCAAACGTGTGCCTCTTACACCCGGCTGTAGTGACCGAGCTTTGAACGGTTTTAAGGCGCAGAGTGCTTAAGAGGACACTGCCGGCTTCAGTTCAGCGTAGAGCATTACATGTGGATGAAGTCGGTTTTCTAAACCCCGGGTGAACCGGCTCTTAAAAAGTGCCGGATGAAATCCGTGGGGTTTTGGTCCGGTAAGCATCACCCTACGGTGCACGAAACCCGAGCACTGCAGCACTGTCTGCCAGAAAGTTAAGCCAACCGCCAGCAAACGGATAGAGCAAACTCATCTCCTGGCCCAAAGCGGATGAGTCAGGCACTGCTGTTTTGCCTTCCTAAAAAATAGGATCCCTTAAGCTTTCATAAAAATATAGGAAAATAAGTCTGCTTACAGCACACGGTGAATTTGGCACAGACCTATTCATATTAAAGTGTTCTTTAGTTGTGAATGTGTGTGAAAACCCAAGGGACTACCAGTGGTCAGACTGGTGCTGCTGTTCTTTAAGGCTGTAACATACACAGGGTTCTATGTGATAGAGGATTTAACCGTGATTTCTGAAATCGGTTTGTTTGCCAGAGACAAAGTGCTGTGGGCTGTATGGAATGAGAGCCTGGAGCTAGATCTGTAGAAGCCCTCCTCACTGGTGCTGTCTTGCATTTGCGAATAAACACCTTGAGTACAGGGCTGGAATTTTACCTTCAGGCAAATTTCTCGTGGATGTTTGCAGGGATTTAGCCCCAGGCAAGGAGCAAAAGGCAGCACTACTGATGTGCTGCTATGTACCACTCACCTATTGCTGCCCCCTTCTTTTCAATGTTTTCATAAAGTGTGTCTTGGGACAAAGGTTCTCGCTTTCCAGCTGGATTTCTATGAAAATGTGGACTGCTGTCACATTTTTTCCCTATTCTTTAACCCCTTTTTGCTTTAGGAAAAACTGAAATACCAGACAGGACGAGGCAACGTTTGAGGCTGGGGAAAGATGCTGTGGTGGGGGAGGCTCTTTGGTAACAAGCTTGCTGTAGGGTTGTGCTCAGCATTACATAACACTGCTCCTGCTTTGGATGAGCTGCATCTGGATGGATTTGCACCCCAGCTCATCCTGCATGGTCAGCCCGTGCAGGCTGCTTAAACAAGGCATTAGCACACACCAGAGCCTTATGAGCACTTGGCATCTCTTTTTGTGGACAACTGTGGCAGCTGGGTCAAATCCACACCCAGGCTCCTGTCTGGATACAAGTAAAAGGATGGTGGATGGGTCTAGAGAGGTTCAGGTGAGCTGACTGGCTTTAAAGGGTATGAAAAATCTCAAGCTACAACATGCATTGTAGGCAGCTCTCTAGGTGTGAGATTACCCTTAAGATCCTTACGCAGTGTGGACTGTAGCACAGTCAAAATGCTAGTGGTTTGGAAAGGTTTGCTCCTTCTTAGGAATGGACCCAATGTTTTACATGGCCAGCTGCTCCTTGGTGACACGTAGTGCTGCAAAACACCAAGATGTGAGACTGATGTGCTCAGTCTCATCACCTTTTAAACTCAGTAGAAGGTGTGGATTCCTACTTTGCAGTAGGATCAAATCCTACTGAACAAATCTGCTGAAAGTGATGGAAGAGTGTGTTGAGACCTTCCTGTGACTGGAGAGCAATGACCTGCTCGAGAGCAGAAGCAGAGCATCAGGGAAGCAGTACTCCATGCTGACATTCGAAGTCTTTGTTCTTTTTTTCAGATGAGTTGTCTTTTAACCTTTTTTCCTTCTGAAATGGAGTCCCTCTCACGTTCGAGGTGTTGTAGTGACACTGTGTGGTGCTGTCCTGCAGTCTCGGCTGCTTTTCACATGAGAACATTTTACACTCTCTCTTGGGTTGGTGAGAGATTGCTGACTTTTCTGCAAAATCTACAAATCTGCCAATTTGCTTATGAATAAAAGCTCCATTTATCCTAATAAAATACTATGTACCATCTCATTCAGAGTAACTTTTTAATAAATACCAGCATTTTTGCAATACAATGAAATCAAGAATAAGGTGATTGCTTTCATATCTGTAAAACTGAAGATGAAAAGGGATTGCAGCATCTATAGGTGAGATGGATTCTTTATAAACCCAAGGTATTTAGGGAAGAACTAATGCAAATGCTTCAGTGCTCTGTATTTGAGGATTTAGGAGATGAGAAGCTGCTGATGGAAGAGGGTCACATCTTTCTGGACACACCAAGGAACTTGTGTGGAAGCAGGAAGAGGCCTTGCAAACATTTCTGCACAAGTTTTAAAAGAGTACTGCAGATGGGATTCCATTGAATTGTACAGTTTTGCCCATATGGCTGGAAAGGGCTCATAATACTTCACATGTTTCGTTGTTCCAATGTGCACATAAATAAGGTTTGGCACAGCCTCTGTTGTAAACACTTTGCTTTAGATGTGGTTGGATCTACTGAAATAATTGAATCTATTGAATCAGATACAAACACATGATTAGGCTATCCAGGCCTTGGGGGCAAATATACAGGGGAAAAAGGAGTGATTCTTGATGGCATTTCAATGTTCAGCTTTCACTGGCAGTGATTTACAGAAATGATAGGAGATGATTTTCTTGTGACTCTTCCTCATTCCTTGTTCTTTACATCCAAGTTTGTCCCAGGTTCTGCTTATAGCAAAGAAAAATGTGATTTGCTCCCAAAGAAGCTGACTGTTGCCTTCACCTTTTGAAAACATCTGAACAAGTATTCCCTAGGCAGAATTTACCTAATGTGTGTTAAGATCGTCTCCACCAGGACATCAGTATTGTTGCACTTCATGACAATATGGTAAAATGGCAATGGGGTAGCTTGTAAGAGAAAATATGAACTTTCCTATGAAAAAAAATTACCTCTGTAGAGCTGAACTCCTGAATATTTACAGTGAGAAATAAACAGATAAGTACATATACATTAAAAACAAACAAACAAACCAACAAAATAAACAAACAATCCTGTTTTAATCTTTGAGATGTTTTATTTGGAAATGGCTCCTGAGGGTTCAAGGTCAGGCTACAGTCTCTCCCTGCTCTTTTATGAACTTCTGTCCCTGTAGGTGTAACTACAACTCCCCTGATGCACTGTGTGTGTTGAGCAGTGCAATATGTGGCAGGAATCCCCTGCTGCTAGGCCTCATGGGATGAGTGGTTTGGCCAGGGAGACCAACCCGAGCACTGCTCATAAAACATCCAAACGCTTTCTTTATGCACAGGAGCATAAATGAATTGACGTGAAAGCAAGTAAGATTTTGATTTTCCAGATTGTTTTTAATTGCAAGTGCAAAGAATGTGTTGGATAACAGAAACACTCCAGAAAAGAAACAAAATGCAGCTCAGCTCAAATTTGCAATGGCAGTTTCTGGTAAATTTTCAACCTGCCTTAACGAAAAGTCTGAAGGAGAGGTAGCTAGGAGATATTCTTATTTTCATACCATCCCTTGAGACATCTGCAGCCTTCACTTTCATAGAAAAATAAGACCAGGAAAAGGCTTGGGACTTCATTTTCTTTTTTTTTTTTTTTTTTTTAAGAATTGTGCAACATTGGTTGCTCTGTGCTGGTGTAGATCACCGCAGCCTTCCTGCTGAAGGGAGAAGAAAATGATAGGGAATGCTTGAGCGCCTATTTGCCATCCAGCTATCTTTCAATAGCACTTAGCATCTGGAACAAGAAGAGGAGGCTGAGGCACATGGGCTGTCAGATCATCAGTATTTCATGGAAGCACCAAAATGCACCTTTTGCAGGACTGAGCCTGGGTGGGTTGTTTATGGAGAACAGCACTGAGGGACTTAAGAATCATAGAATCATTAAGATTGGAAAGACCGTTAAGATCACCTAGTCCAACCATCACCACCATGCCCACTAAATCACATCCCCCAGTGCCACATCTACACATTTCTTGGAAACCTCCAGGAATGGTGACTCCACCACCTCCCTGGGCAGCCTGTGCCAATACCTCATCATCCTTTCTGAGAAGAAGTTTTTCCAAATACTTAACCTGAACCTCCCCTGGTGCAACTTAAAACCTTTCCCTCTCATCCTACTGCTCTTAGATGCGAGATGAGACCCACCCCCACATTGCCACAACCTCCTTTCAGGGAGTTGTAGAGAGCAATAAGGTCTCCCCTGAGTTTCCTCTTCTCCAGACCAAACCAAGTCCCTCAGCTGCTCCCATAAGACTTGTACTCCAAACCTTTCATGGCTTTGCTACCCTTCTCTGCTCCAGTGTTTCAATGTCTTTCCTGTAGTGAGAGACTGAAAACTGAACACAGTACTCAAAGTGCAGCCTCACCAATGATGAGTACAGAGGGACACGTTGATATCTGGGGACTTTCCTCTTTGGCCTTTGGGAGGTGTGCTGAGCTACCAAACTGTGCCAGAGGGCTGGGTGATTTGCAACAGGGTTGGGTTAAGGAAAAGGATAAATGTGAGCCCCTCCTTGGCCTCTCTGGCAAGGACTTGTCTCTAAGTGAATCCCTGGAGCAGGAGAGCAAGCTGGTCCGTTAGTAAATGCCCTTTGCTTATCCATTCACCAGTGCAAACTCCATTTTAATTATTTATGCTAATCCATCGTAATGCACGGATAAATATTCTGCAGTATACTTTGTAAAATATAATGAAGTCTCAGTTGTTGTAGACCTCTCTGAACACCCTTACTGGTGTGGCTCTGCTGAGGACTGTTAATTCACTCAGTCCGGCATGTTGAATGGTGCTATGGGTGGTCAGTGCTGGTTTA